CTTCAAGCTGTCGAGTTCTCATTTGTCCCTTCATTCAATTTCTTCAAAGCTTCATTAATAACAAGATCAGTCTTTGCATAACTGTGGTAAAGAAAAAAGGACCCTGCAAGAAAGATGCCAGCATCACTATTATAACCTTATTAGGGTTTTTTTTTTTATTTTGTTAAAAAAAGGAAATTAAGACAAAATTTCAATTTTTTTTTGACTTCTTGTTAATCAGATTTAACAAGATCCAAATATAAAAAGAAGTTTTTTTTAACATAGTAATCACAAATTCATAATAAAGACTAGCTTTTTTCTGATGTACAACCAAATTAAACTGAATCTTTTACCCTAATTAGGGTTTGCTATCCTAATCTTTCAAATCCATTGCAATTTTTCTGTTTGTGGGCAATTATGTATGCTTTATAAAGATGATGGATTTTTTGTTCTTATGTACAGATCTAGCTTAAACAATCAAGACCCACTAAAAAGATAAGCCAGTTTTGCATATATTTGTGCTCAATCTACATAAACTTGGCAAATATAAATCTCATTTCTCTATTTGCCATATTTTTCTGTCACGACTTTTTCTGGATATGAACAGAACATGGGTTTTCGTATAAGAGTTAATTGAATGTGATATATATAGATTTTGTTTGAGTGGCAAGAATCTTTTGCACGTCACACACACGATTTTGTTCATTTTCTTGTTCTTGACTTCTGATAAAAAGAAGAATGTGTAATTATGATTCCCAATTTGTGCTTCAAAATTTTATAATTTTTTTTCTATGAAATGGGGAGTATACAAATAAGTTATAAGTTATAGCCCAAGTTCAGGCCTTTCACAAATTCAGAAGTCATCTTCACTTTTCTTAACTTGGAAAGTTTTAAAATTTGTCATCTTTTTTCACAAAGTTTATATGTATAGGTCTAACATAACAGGTCGATTTGTCATTCTTTTCCCAAATAAAAATGTATATTTGTACTATGAAATGTCATATTTTATTTTTGTTGTCACAAATTTTTATATGGATCGGCCTAATCCTTAGACGACCGATCCGTCATATTTTTTTCAATTAAAATGCACATTTATACAATAAAAATATCATACTTTATTTATATTATTTTCAAAAGTACAATAATTAGGTTTAGTATTGCTTAATAGTAACTTTAATGTTCTTCTTTTTAAGTTGTTCCATTTTTTCACAAATGGGACTGCACTGACTACTAAAAAATCATTATTTAAATGCTTATAAAATTATTTAATTTAAAGATATGATTTTTGGTATTAATTCTAGGGTTCAGAAGTTTAGTTAATGAGTATTATCCATGGTGGAATAAGGGGGGTTTTCAAATTTCGTGCCTAGAATTATGGGCCAATCATATCGCGAGGTTCTGTGCCAGCTGGGCTGGCGCAGCCAATCAGTGGCTCGACGAAATTAAGGTAGCAGCAGACTGAGAAATAAGTTGGGTTCATTTTATTTTTACTAAATTAAATCATGTCACATTGACATTTTGAGCTCACAGAATAACTCTGACCTAAACAATCAATCTTTTCAATCAGTTTTGTTCATGGTTATTGTCTATTGGTTTTTGAGTTGATCATTTCTAATTATTAAAAAAAAAAAAAAACTGGGTTAATCTATAATAATATCTAATCTTGGGAACTTGGACCTTGTTAAGGAATAAAAAAATTGTTAGGAATTTAAGTTAAAGTGCGACCCATTTTTCTACACTATCAAAAGTCTAAAGTTAACAGTGTAAAAGATTTGAGAAAATTGCAAATTGAGTTATTTAAATTTAAAAATGCTCGAGTTAAAAGGAGGAAAATAAACGAATTAAAATGTTAACATAAAATAAAATATTATTTCCTCCTATTTTTAATAAATGTTGTTTTGAGAAGGTGCACAATAATTAAGAATATTATTTTTGCCAATAATAATCCTCATTAATGAGGATAGAAATTGATGTTTTGAGAAAATATGGAGAGTGAATATGAAAAAACGTAGTGTATTTGTTAGTTAGATGAGTGTAATAATGGAAAAATATGTACTCCTACAAAATAACCAAAACGACATTTATTTAACAAATAATCAATTAAGCTAGGATGACAAATAATAAAAATAGGAGGGAGTATCTTTTTTTATATAAACGACCTTTCTATCGTCTTATACGAGTAATAGCTTCTAGATAACACAAATTCTTGTATGAAGCGGCCTAATTTTAGATGAGTGCGACCCATCATATTTTCATAATGTTAATACATATTTATTTCGTGTAATAATATGATATTAATTATACTGATTTTTATATAATTACATTTAAATTTAAAAGTATGAACATAAAAATAATATTACTACCTCATAATGGTAGTTCTAGTGGATAAATATATATTATCTTGTCAACTTAATCAAATTGGTTGGGGTTCAATGTTATATTACTAAGTATGAAAAGATAATAACATTATTATTTATGAATAACTTTATAAGTACTCATACATGCATTTGAGCTCACATTGACCCATTTGAATAATTTGGGTCATTTCTACTAAGCAAAATTTATCCCAACACACATCTCATGTAAAATATGTTCAACGAGTCAAACCTTAAATTAGACCGATGAGTCTAGTTTGGGCAGATTTATTGGCGAATCGAAATCGTTTGAACCAAAACCCCCCAAACGATAAGAAAAAGTTTCAAAAATTTAAATTTAAGTTTCAAAATTGATGGCCGAGAATGATTAGAACCAATAGTTCACATGTTCTTGGCGATTTATTTTAGCTAATAAAAAACAGTTCCAAACCATGAAGTGACTGAACTAACGACTCTTGAATTGAAATAGTATGTCTGGCTGACTAATTCCTGTTTAGTGTCCCAAAACCCTCAAATCCGAACCCTTATACTCGGATGCATTGGTCTCTAATTGCAAATGCACTCTTGTGTAATTGAAATAAGAAAGAAATTATACCTAGAAACAAAAGAACTTAATTATATTCACAACATTTTTTCCAAGGGGATTGTAGGGATTTTAAGATTATGCTTGGAAATGAGATTTTCAATAAAAAAACAATCATTTTCCTAACTTTTTTTTTTAAAAAAATGCAAAATCTAAATAAATTTAATCAAATTTAACTCAATTCAACCATCTTTAATATTATCTAAAATTAAATAATATCAATCAACCATTCTCACACATCACATCAGTTTTAATTCACTATTAATCAATTCACATAATTTTAACTATCCATCACTTTCAATCACTTCTCTCTTATTTTTACATCAAATCAATTTTAATCACTTTATTTTAAATATAACTTTAATACAAACTCAAAATTCCACTCAAACATAACTATATAATTTTTTTTTTAAAATTAACTCTGATTTCCAATCAAAACTTATATCCAATCAACCCCTAAAACTTTTTTTAAGTTTTTGACTTTTGTTGACTTTCTACAACTTTAGTGAATTTGGTTGATATTGTGAGATTTTTATATAATTCTGACTAAAAACTTTTTAGGACTTTCATCATATATTTTCTTAGATTTATTAACGAATTTAATAAACTTATAGTTATAATTATCAAGTTTTCATGAAAAGATTATTAATGCTGCATAATAACTAATTTCAATAAATTCAAGCTAGATTTTTGTTAAAAGAAAATATTAAATCAGATGATCTCTGATAGTAAACACCGATCATTCAACAAGGAAGAAAAAATACATATATATTTTTAGCATTACTATTTACGTTAGTAAAAAGATCAATTAATCCTCTAAAATTCTTAAATAGAGAAATAAATAAATAAATTTACATTAATCATAAATATTATCAGAAGATAAAAAAATTATCTTTTAAAGGTAGCACTAGTACCCTGAATCACCCTATATCAACAAATAAACTCTTAAGGCAATTTATAATTACAAGTTACCCTATGTCAACAAAGAAACTCTTAGGGCAATTTATTATAAGTTAATATTTGTTTTGACTGATGGGATAATTTTTTATACAGTACTTAATTCAAAATCCAACTTAAATTTAACCAAACCAACTCTTCTCAATAATATCAATAAAAATTAAATAATATCAACAAATCATTCTCACTCATCACGTCAACTTTAATTCACTATTTATCCACATCACCTATCATTTCAAATAATTCATCTCATATTTTTACATCTGCATCAAATTTAATCATAATATTTAAATATTATTTCAATACAAACACAAAATCTCACTCAGCTTTATTCAAATCAACTCACATTAATCAATAAATCCAATCAAACTCGATTTTATTTATATCCAACCGCTCCCTTAACTATTCAAAATGAACATTTGATATTTGTAAAGTTATTTACAAATAAGAGAATGTAAATAATCTAGTGGAATGTGCAAATTATACAAACATTTGATATTTGAAAATCATTCACAAGCAAAAGAGATGATAAAACTAAACATCGTTGAAGAACCATAATTAAAAAAAAAAAATCACGTTAAGCATTTATGAAAAAATAATTTTAGACTAAATGAGTNCTTGTAGGAAAAAAAAAAAAGACTTAAGGAGTGGCACATAAATCTAACAAGATCTCACAAATTTGATGAAATTTTTATAAAGATTGTGTCTTTGTAATATTGTTAAAAAAATGTTTCCAAAGATTTTCAAAGTTAAAATTCTTGTAAACTCGTCCTACTTTAACTATGTGGTGACTTGTAGATGCAATTAAAATTTTTTAACTGAATAACTTGAGATTTTTATAGATTCATAAGAAGTCTTTAAAAGTATCAATTAAGTGTAAGTATAATTTTTTAATAGTTTTAAAAATTTGAAATTAAATATAACAGAGTTCTTTCAACTTTTTCTAAAAAATCTCAATTCAATACACCTGATATTTCCCTGGTCACTCATGTGTTTTGGTTGTTTCTCTAATTCTTTGTCTACTGTACATATAGAGAGCCATATTTAACTGTGTGAGAGCGAGTAAATACATGCAAATTTCACTGATTAGATTTGTGGAAATGACAATTAATGTTAATGTGCAGTGTGAAAGCTACCATTGATAGGTACAAGAAAGCTTCCTCAGATTCTTCTAATAATGGCTCTATATCTGAAGCTAATACTCAGGTAAAGATTTTGACAATTATTATTCTTTTTTATTAATAATCTGGCTGAATTCCAATTTTTTTATTAATTCCAAATTAATGTCACTCAGTGCATTCCAAAGACAAAATTAAACTCTTTGACTTTTTCAATATTTCAGTACTACCAGCAAGAAGCATCAAAACTGCGAGCTCAAATCAGTAATTTGCAGAATCAAAACAGGTTATAGTTAATCAATCCTAATCTATTTTTCACTATTTTAACATTAATTGGTCCAATTTGTTCCTAATTAACCCCATTAATTTACTTGTGATGTTACTTATTTAGGAACATGCTTGGTGAGGCTTTAGGAGGTTTATCTCTTAGGGAATTGAAGAATTTGGAGGGAAGAGTCGAAAGAGGAATTAGCCGAATTCGGTCTAAGAAGGTACACGAAAAACGGGTCGCTTAGCTTATTATGTTCATGATGATCATATTTTGCTAATTGATACAAATTTCTCTTTTATATCTCAGAATGAGTTGCTCTTTGCTGAAATTGAGTACATGCAGAAAAGGGTAAGTTACCATCATCAACTCATAAAATGTCCAATTTGATTGTAATAATGTGTTTCATATAAAATATGTCTGCACGAAAATCGAACATTCTATTTATCCGAAACAAAGGTAACTTGGAATTGGTTGTCGGAGTTCTATTGTTATTAGGCTAAATAGTATTTTTAGTTCCAATTACTGGTTTAACGCCTTAGCAATTTTAGTTCCAAAATTTTAAAATTTCGCCTTATAGTCATGTGATTTTATATTTTTCTGCAATTTCAGTTATTTGAGGACTTAAATTGTACTAAATTCCAGATGGATTTTTTATTAGCAGTTTAAATTCTGTAATTTAAAATCTTGTTGTAATTCAGTCATTTAATTTAAAATTTTGTTGCAATTTCAATTTTAAAAGGGCTTAAATTCCAGTAAAATATTAAGTCACATGATCAATAGGTGAAAAATTAGAACCTTGAGACTAAAATTGCTATGACGTTAAATCAACATGACCAAAAATGCATATTTCCATTGTCATTATCCTTTTAGAAAGATCAATGTTTCTCCATTTACGACTCGACCAGTTTATGTAGATTCTCAGCTATCTGATTATGTTGTTTCGTGGTGTAAAAAATATTGGCAGCAGGAGATTGATTTACACCATAATAATCAATACCTTCGAGCAAAGGTTAGTTCACAATGCGACAATTTTGATTGTCAATTCTTCAATTACGTCTGACATTTTTTGGATATAATACGAGTGCTAATGAGTTGTTTTAAAATTTTTAACACAATCTATTGTGAGTAAAAAAAAAAAATCAATTTATGGTAAATTTTTGTAGATAGCTGAAACTGAGAGAGTCCAGCAGCACATGAACTTGATGCCTGGAAGTTCTGACTTTGAGCTCGGTCAACCTCAAACTTTTGATGCTCGAAATTTCCTTCAAGTCAACGGGCTTCAACCGAATGATGACCCACCCCTTCAGTTAGTGTAAGACTTAAATCCTGCTTTAATTACTTCTTTTAATGACAATACTACATTTATGTGATTCTTGATTTTATAGTAACTTTTCTGCATTTTTGTAGTTAAATGCACCATAAACTTAGGAATAGTCTGTTTTATGTATGCAATCAAATATTATAATCGATACACAAATAAAGTCGAACTAACAAATTGTTAATCTTCTGAATAGCTGAAATAAATGAAGTGCTTCTGCTAGAAGCTTTACATGGCTAAGGAAGTTCGAGTTTCGTATAAATTCCTTATTACGTAATCCATGTAAGTCTCACTCGACGTTTCTTTTAACGGATGTTTTAAGTCAGAATGTACTCTGGCACTCTTCTTCTGTTTTCCTTCATTAATGCCGTGTTCTTGATAAAAGATTGTATGTATGTATGTATGTATACTTATTTGTATGGTGTGACTCATGAGCATTGATCGCCCGGAATATGGCGTAACAGTTTAGGTCGCTTAATGATATATATATTAACAATAAATTTCATGTGTTTTACTTTTACGAATTGCCTTACATTAGGATTTATCGGTAGAAAAACGGCAAATAATCATAATAACCAACACAAAACTGCAATTTTGTTTGTTCCATGATTTTGCAGTTGCATGTTCATCATGAAATGATCGCCCGGGATGAATATATAGCAAAAATTAATTCAAGATACCCGATAAATATTTTATTTTATTTTTTTCGGGCAAAAAAATTTGTTATTTTCGAACGTACGGCTGTGATTAAATTACCAATAATATCCCCGAAAAGGGTGAAATTGGATCAGAAAAACCCAAAAGTTGAGATGTACAAATATATCAAGTGATTAATAGGTCTGTAAACTCATTATGAAAATAACTTTGTGTTATTCTAGTCGAGCCAACACTTCATTTTCTGAGTTCATGCTCGTTTAATAAACTAGCATGTTTGCAGGGCCGTCTCCAGAAACGTAGAGGCCCTAGTTAAAATTTTACATAGTGGTCTCCTTCCAACAAATATATTCATAGTTTTTTATTGAACAACATAATAAATATTAGATATGATTTAATCCACAAAAATATTTTCAACATAAAAAATAAATTAAGTAAATTAAAAATATATTTCATAAAATTTTGTTGAAATAACAAGAATAAAAATTGAAAAATAACAACATATATACACTAGAATCTCAAGGAGAAGAGTATGAAAACTAAATAATGGTTCAGCCGCTTGAAAATCATTAATTAAAACTAAATAAATAGATAATACAAGTAATTAAACTTGAAAATGGTCATATTAATTGTTTGAATGCATATATTAAGTTCTTATAGAATATATGTCGTTTTGTTTTTCC